TACAGAAGACTAGGAAAGACAGTAACAGTCTTCAAATAGATTAGAGGATGCTGTAAAGAAGACAGGATCTTCATGTTCCCTTAGGAAAGAACAAGAATTAATAGGATGAAAGCACAGCAAGGGTTAGATAAGGCATTGAGGAAAAAAAACACTGTGAGGGAACATACTAGAACAGAAATTTGATGGGGAGGTTTAAGAAGAATTCTATCAATAAAAATCTATGAGGATAGGCTAAATAAGTATCTCAGAAGCGTGTTTGGAGTTGATCTTGTCCTGGTAAGAAAAATGGAGTATCTCTTGTGGTCCAGGCATATTTCTTTATGAATCTTTATGTGTTTGCTGGAGATGAATCGTGTTGTGCAGTTGTTCCGTGTTTCATTCTTCAATATATAAAAGGAATACCATTGCTCATGCTTTTTTCTGTTTCTACAAATATATATGATTACTATGATTAAATATTTTCATTTGGCTTAGAGAAATAAGCACTCCTATGCATTTATTTTGTTTGAGTGCATTCTTCAGTAAGATTTTGGCTTGTGCTGCAAAGGATGTCAGCAGTCAAGCACTTCCTAAAATCTTTTCCTATTTTATTGGATACATCCAAATTCCACATAGTCATGCTGAATGCTATCAGTCACTCTTGACTCAGCCAAAATGGTTTTAAAGCAGCCAGGGAATATGTGGGGGCGTGTGCTGCTGAGCAGCTGGTTTTAAATTGCACGGAGTCCTGTCTGGTTTCTCACGCACTGTCCATATGACAGCTTGGACCACAACTGTTTTGATCTCATTGTATTGATGTGTGTGGCTTGCACTTTTCCATGAGTAATACACCATTGGGAAGTTTAGACTGGATCAGAGTAAAGGTCATTTGTTGTTGATTATCTTATCTGCTTCTCCTACTTAATATAAAGGGAAGTCAGTGTTATCATTCTTAAATGTTCTGTACTGTGAGATTCCCTGTAGGAAAAACTAAAACCATTGTTGACCATACAAGCTTTGTTAATCAGTTTACATCTAGTGCTTCATAACAAATCCTGATGATCTTACTGGTTTTCTAGGAATGCAGCATATTTCTTGCCTACAGTTAAGTCCCAGTAAATGTTCCCATCACCCCAAACCAAGTTTATTTTTGCATGATGATCTCTTCATTTGCTTGAGGTTTCCTTTCTTCCTTCCCTCTCATGACTTATCATCTAAACATTTGTAATCTCCAGAGGAACTGCAAAACACATTCCCATGAAAATCTTAAATCTCTAAAAGCAGTACAAGAGGAAAGAAAAAAAAAGAGAAAAAAGAAAAAGAATAAAACCACCATAAAACCAGCCTTGCTGGCTGAATGGCTTGAGTAAACTCTTTTGTCACAGCCATTGTAAAGTATAAGTCTTTAAAGTCCAGAAATGCAATCAGACTGTCATAAACAGGAGTATTGCCTTTTTGACTGATATCTATTATAAAACCAAAGGGTTCATTAATTTCATCCAGGGCTCTTTAGTGGGGGAAAAAAAAAAAAGAAGGAAAGAAAGGAAAGAAAAGAGTAGTTGAGTAAGGTAGGTTTAATGATTTGGGGAGGTTTATTGGCTGTACATCTTTGGTCTTTGGTCTGTCTCAAGCCACACTAGTTCTCTCAATGAGGCTTTTCTTTTCTAGAAATAATGGTATCCGACATCACAATTACACAGTAGAGGTCATTCAACAATGCTTCAATTCCATATTTCTTTAGTACACCGTAAAGGAAAGAAAAAAGGCTTTTGGTCTACAGAGATATAGTAAAAGGCTTTTACTTGAAAATACTTCGTCATAACAGTTTTATTAACCTGATGCCAGCCATTTCTTTAATTTGATTGAGGCAGCAATTTGTATTCTATACAGAATTTAGGCCAAGGGGCTCTTGTCCCATTGGCTGTCGCACAGTCATTGGGCATTGAATATCCTGTGCATGTAAAGTATTACAGGCCTTAGCTGTGATTTTGAGGGTCTATTTTAAGGTAGGAGGTATCTAGTGTTTACATCTTGTAGATAACTTCATGTGAGCAAGCTGTGTTCATTTGCACATGTGTGGGGGGTGTGGTACATTGGCAACATGAGGGAATGTATTACTTTTTTCCTCATGCAGGCTAAAGCAACCTGTTGTTTGCTGATGTAAATTTTCCTGTGTATGGTGGACAGTGACTGGACTTGGCTGTTTGTAATTTTACTGGAGCAATTTTTAAACTATCCTCGTCTATGTTTTTTATTTTCCAAAGGGGTTTATGAAAGCAGTATGGAATATTATGAAAACAGTATGGAATATCTGTACACAGACACTGAGCCTGTCAATTGGTTTTTCAGAATCCTTTGTCTACTCTTTACTCCTCTAAGCATCTCCTCCCACTGAAACTTTGTTTTTTAATACTATTGTGAGAAATTACTGTAGTTTTCCTTCTAGTGGGTCTTGCCTCCTGTATTCTAAGTTGGTTTTATGTGTTGTCCTTTTTTTTTTAATTTAGATTGCAAAGAGTTCCCTTTATGACCAACCAGTTTATTTAGACACACAGAGGACTGAAGCTTCCAGCATATGACTGAGTGCAGGGGTTACCTCATGGTGGAGGCTCTGATACCACAAGACCTTAAGCAAAACCAGGGAAATCAGATTTCTACATCATATTTTAAGTTTAACAAGGGAAAACAGGCCTACCACCTCAGAAGACAGTGATAAATGATACTGAGAAATTTAAGAACCTTGTAAAACTGCTTTACATCGTTTTACGAGTCAAATTAATCTGCAAATAAAATGTAAATACTAAAATATAAGTTATGTGTTCAAATGGATCCTTTAGCAACAACAGTAAGAGAATTGACTGATGTTGCAGTGATTGCATTATGTGGAATTTGGACCACAGCCCAACCCAACAATGTTAAACACCAGTTCTTCTAGTAAAGTAATTTCTGATTGCAGTATCTGTTTTCATCTCGAGTAGCTCAATGTGGGAGACTTGGCCTAGCTCTGAAAGGGCTGTGCTTTCATGGTGTGACTATGACTCTTGATGCAGTTCAGCATCTGAAATCAAATATGAATTTTGAAAAAATACATAGTATTTACAGCAGTTGTTTTGACTGTGGAATACTTTAGCCCAAGAACAAATTTGAGTTTTAGACATTCTTAAGATGGTAAAATGCTTTCAAATTAGGACTTAGATTGGACTTCTGTCCATAGATAAGTCAAGATGTTAGCATTGCTAATTTTCTGGATCTGTGTCTCTCTCCTATGGGCTTCAGCAAACTGACTTCTGTGACTCTTATCTATTTATTTAATACTTAATGTCTATCTTAAATACCACCTGATAAACAAAAGATGACCCAGAAAATGGATGAGTGAGTGAAAGAAGGTTCTGGGAAAATCTCACTCTTGGAAATCAGTAATAGACACAGGTTTGTGATTCTCTCAGAGCTACAGCACAAAACTACACAATAACTACGTAATAGTCATACTGTAATACAGCCCTCACACTGTGAACTCCTGTCTTGCATCATTGTGGTGGTGCTTTTGTAAGTGACCTTAAAACACTCATTTCACAACAGCGATACAGAAAAATGTGGAAGAAAACAATTACTATTGTGGACCTTCACCATGCCTGGTACTACCTAGCTGAAACTGAATTATATATTAAAAAAAACAAAAACAAAACAAAACAAACAAACAAAAAAAAAAAAACCAAAAAAAACAAACAAAACCCCACAAAAACACAAACCCAAACAAAACCAACCAAACAAAAACCCACCTGAGTGTCCTAGACTGCTTTTAGGTGAATGACAACCATGGGAGGTCTGGACTCAGAGTTAGCTGCCGTGTAAACCAGGAATAATTTCCAAACATAAGGATGGGAAGGCCTGGAGCATTTCTTATGACCAAAACTTCCAGCTGCAGCTAGAATCTCATGACAACTTGTTTTTCTTTCTACAATAATACAAGGCAAGCATTTTTATGGGAAAATTAGGAAAACTCTGAGGAAAACTCATCTGCGTTTTTTATGAATGCATCAGGAGGCAGAGTGTGTTCAGACTCAGCCCATGTTTGAGGTTTTAGCAAGACACAGACATCCTTAAATTTGCTTCTACATTCAAACTTCCCAAGAATATTCAGTTTATTCAAGTCCATTTTGAATTAAGGTTTAACACACATTGTATATTGCCTTGGAATAGAGCCCTCTAATCTGTTTACATGCTTCTATGTACACAGTTGTGGTGAGTAAATCACTGCAGTAGTTTTTTCTGTGTGAGGATGCAGTTTATCAGGCCTTTCTGAAACTATGCAATGATAGGATTGTTAGCAGAAGACTGGCTAATCTATTTTCTTATTCAATAACATGCCATAGCCACAAACTATGCCAGTGATAAGAAAAAAGGCAAGCCATGTTGTAGGATTCTGCACTTTATTTACTCTAGGGTGAATACAGAGTAAATGTACCGACAACAAGACAATTTATTTATATTCTGTCTTAACTTGAGTCAGAAATATCTCTTCAGAATGGTGTATATTTCATGATAGTACCATACCTGTTGGGTTTTTGTTGTTGTTGGATTGTGGAGGTGTAGAGTTTTTTCTTAAAGTCCCTTTTTGCCTAGTAGGGAGTTGATATTTATAACCCATCCTCTTTGAGAACAGCTTTTAAATATTTCAATACCAGGAGAGAATTTGCTTCCAGATTCACTTTCAGGCTAGAGCCAAGAAATTAAAGCAATGAGATTTTAAAAAGAAAGGCAAAGAAGAGCTTGAAGAAAACACTTTTTCAGTTGTTGGATATCTCACGAGGACGCTCTTGCTCTAAAACCTGTCTCTGCCCCAATTAGTCAGCGACACCAGGCAGAGCGATAGAAATTTCCACACCGAGGAAGGGAGAGATGAAATAATGAGGAAGGTAATACTGGGAAAACCAATGTGAATAATGAGTTACAAATATTAACTGTCGTGCATGATTAGCTGTTTTTGGTAAGATTTCTCATGTAACTGTTCTCTTTTCAAGGGACCGAGCTCCCTTCATCTTCACGTCAGAGATGGAGTATTTCATCACGGAAGGGGGAAAAAACCCACAGCGCTTTCAAGAGTTTGTGGAGCTTTGTTGTCGAGCTTATAACACAGTCAGGAAACACAGCCAGTTACTCTTGAACCTGCTGGAGATGGTAAGAAGCTTGAGGATGAAACCAAAAATCAATTTCATCTGGTGTTTTCTTCTCTTTTACCATTTCACTGCTGCCTCCAGTAGCACGGTGATTTGAAGAAGTATCAGCTGCACTGCTGGAAATGTTAGTGCTGCACTTCCTCTGCAAAAAACCTATCCTGTTTCAATATTAATTTCTGAGAAAAGAAAAGCTAAGCTGCTTGATGTTTTTCCTTTTTTTTTTTTTAATGCATTATTTTTTACAAAATATCAGAAAACTGCAAATGAACCTGGGTAGAAAAAGTTTCACATTCAGGAATTTCACTTAGCCCTTTTTCTAGGTCTTCAAAATTTCATTTCCCATTCCTGTTTGTGGTTGCAAGGCAAAGTAAGCTAAATATTTCACAGAGTGGGTGATTTGACAGTACATGGCAGCATTGCAGCTACAGTGATGCCATTAGAATGGGTTTTTTCACATTTTTAGAATCACAGGATCATTTCCACAGTCCCTTCTTAGGATGGCAGACATAGGAAAGAAAGAGTACCCATACTGACACAGGTTTAGAAATTCTTTTTTATGAGATTTTGAGACCACTAGGAGTTTTTATCCTTAAGTATTCCCACTGATTCATGTGCTGTTGCAGATTCCATAACTGCTTTATGCCTCTATTTACTTGTGTATGAAAAGTTAATGATTTGCCCCTATACAGAACAATGAGAATATTAAATTAACTAATATTTGCTAAGATGCTTGGCTAAGATGTTAATCCAAAACATATGTCCAGGGCCCCATGACGTAGAGGACTGGTCTGTGCACGAAAAAGTCTACATGACCTTATAAACAGAACTCCTGCTGAGGTTGGGGGACAGCCAAAAAGCTGCTCTATAAACACAACTTTATCATCTCCAACTTGTGCTGTGGGGGAGACGGCAAGAAATGGTAAGAATCTTTCATCTTGCCTCTTCCATCTTGTACTTCCCATGTAGTGAGAGAGTGAGGGATTTCCCAGTATGGAGCAGGAGGGATTGTTCCAGATCTCTCAACCTTGCTGCTAAGTGGTTACAAAGGTGCAGCAAAACTGCGTTCCCATCATAATGCACAGTTTTGCCCTAGAAGCCATGAAGTTGTAGAGGATACTGTCCAAGAGCCTCTGGAAAACTCAGGAGGAAAACACCCTTGCTCTCTCATTCACAGCAGTAATCCCTGCATATCTGAACGCTGCTGAAAACCACATGCTGCAAATATAGCTACGTCTTCTGCCCATCTCCTTGTCCCCAGTGCAGTGCCTTTTTCTGCAGGCAGCAGAGATAACGACGTTAGATTACTCTGGGATAATAGAGAGAGCATGTTAGGAAAATGTTCCCAGCAGGAGCTCTGAAATAACTAGCTATCTCTGCCTGGATATAGCTGCTCAGGTTTGTCTGTATTCAGGATGTGCTGCATCTTTTGTTTCTGCTGATCTTGTAGCAGAGGTAATAGTGCTGAGCTGAAAGTCAGCATCCAGATATGTTTTGATATTTGTCAATGGGTTGCAGCTCAGTCAATTGTATTGCATTTCATAATTGAAAAATTAAACTGGCAGTGCACTCACACCCCGTTGATGAGCACTTCATGTCGGAGGGAATTAAACAAAGAAGGCGAGGTTGAAAATGCCTTGTTTTTGCCAGTGATGTTTGGAAGGGTGAGTCTGGTTCTGCACTCAAAATGGGGTGTTGGTCAGAAACTGTAAATATCAAAATGTTTAAGTTTCATGGGTCATTTCTAGAAAAAATAAATAGACTGTGAAATTCCACTTGGACTTCATTTCTATTCCCAGAAATTCAGATGTTATCATGAAGAGATAAGATTAACTAACCACTGCTTATTTGTATCAATGACAGTCTGAGATTTCTCTCAGTTTGGAAATATGCATCATTAATCTTTCATTCTCCTCCCACATTCTGTTTTTGGAGATGCTATTTATAAAACATGGTTAAAAAATTAACGATAAGACTATTTCTATAAAGTAGAGAAGTAGTAAACTGTGCCCTGCATCACCAGCAACAATTAGTCGTTTCTAGCAAATATAATTATGAACAAAGTGACGGGGTTTTGGCCCAGTTTGGGAATTAATGCTATTTCTTGGTGGTCAGCAGAATGTTTCTAAAGCTGCACTGACATTTGCTACTGGGAGTAAGAAATAATCCATGAAGTTTCCACCGCTTTCAAAAGCAGAAACATCTGCAGGAGATCCAAGAGTCTGCTGGCAGAGTTCAGCTGCATAAATGCCTGCAGTTCATCAGCTTTGCTCTCATTAAAGATTTGATGTGAACTATTATAAAGAGGGTGATTGCAGGACACAAACACCTTTTGACTAGTTTAAAGAAATGCAAATTCCATTACTGTTTTAAAGATTTTTCAGATAGAAAATTATTAAGAGGGTCTTAGATGTGACACTAGAGAGCAAGTAATTGATCTGCTGTGACAAGAAACAGGTCAACTTAATCATATGAAACAGGAGACAGCACCTACATAGAGCAAATCTAAAACTCAAGAATCTTGTGTCCCCATACAAGTCACTTCACCCTTCTAAAGTCAGAAACACCATCTGAGAAGAGAGGTTTGGGAAACACCCCCATTTTGGAGGTCCAACCAGTGAAAATGCCAGGACAATTCCTTTTTCATGGTGGGCTGAGCATCACACACCAGCCCTGAACCCAGGCCCAAGGAGAGTGTAGGCAGCTCCACTCAGTGAGTCAGAAGGCCTGGGATAACCAAGGCTGGTAGGTCAAACCATATGTGTGGGCCAACAAAGGTAGCAATGCAGGCACTTGAACTTAGGCACCTAAGTGGTGTTTGAGTTTGCCCTGTGAGAAGTGTAGTTGGTTTTCAAACAGTTGTTCCATGTCTTGTCTAATTACCATCCAGTATCATCAGCCACAGTATTGAGAAGCCTCTTCCATCAGCAGACTAGAAACACAAAAAATATTCTGTATGGAAAAAAAGAGATAAAGGAGTATAAGAGGCCTCTAGGACCTCCTTGCAGCCAGCAAAGCACTATGTAGGTACTGCCCAGCTAGAGGCTTCTTTTTTTATTATTCACTTCAGCAATTGTTAAAAAAAAAAAAAAAAAAAAATCCTGGTTTTCTGTTACATTACAGATTGTTCAAATTATGTTTATGTCTGGTATCATCCCCTTTTCTAAGGAAGGGTAAAGAAGCTTAATTTTTTTCCCCTTTAAATCTAAAGGGGACAGGAGTAGTTATCTTTTATAAATTGGTTGAATGTATATTGATAAATAGCACTGTGTGTCCTTCAGTGCTGAATATTGTTATTGCTCCTGCTGTCAACAAAAATTTACTTCATGCAGCTTTCTGCCTCTATGTTCCTTGCTAGGCAAAACTCTGTGAAAACAGCAGTCTAACTGTCCAGTGGCAGTATGGATTGGGGCTGATACAAGACATGATTTTCCTCATAATGCCAAAAAGAAAATATACAAAATATTGAAACTTGACTTAAAAATATTGAGAAGGTTTGAAGGAGTAAAGATATATCTCTTTGTGGGGAAAGGCCCCATCTCCTTTCCCCTCACACTATTCATCTCTCAACAAAACATTAAAATAAAATCAGTGCTCCCTTTTTTCTTTGCTCTTACATGAAAAACTCAGTGGGTCTTTCTCTCTGAGCTAGACATAAATATCAATGAAGAATGCACAGCAGTGACTGCAAATTCAGATACATTTCCTTCTGAGCAAAGTAAAGGACTTATTCTTTTTTTCCATTACACAAAAAAAGCATCCCTCTCAACTTGCTGTGATTGTCGAGTAAAATCATTAGGTTTTGAAGTGTGTAAAATATTTTGTTGTTGTTGACATTTAAAAATGACTGAAGAGAGCTGAATGGGCAATAGACACATTGTTGTCTACCCTGCTCATGTTGTTACTTTGCAAGGGGAATATTTGCACTGTCTTTTGAACCTAATTTGGTCAACTAACTAGAGTAGTTCTGTTCCTCATCCCTGGAGAATGATGCATTCTCCAGAGGGCACTTCTCACTGCCCAACTCAGGGCTCCTGCTACGAATCAATGTCTAAAGAAGCTTTTCTCCTGCACTGACTTTAAAGGGAGTGAGTCTATGATCCCCTTGCAGGAGGAGTCCAGAGCAGTAATGGTGGAAGGAGGAATTACAAATGAGAAGGTGATGTTGAGCTAAATTGAATTAGGACTAAGACAACACTGTGAGCGTAACAGAAATGTGGTTACTGCTGTTCAGGAGGCTGGATTTGGTCACCTTCCCTTTATTACTATTAGAAGGCTATGAAGGAGGCTTAGCAATGAACACCTTGAGGTTATGGTATTTGAAGAGAAAATAAATAACTGAAATGGATCATTGATTCTGACCCATGCCTCTTTCTGGTCCCTCAGTGTGAAGGTTTACAATGCAATATATTCACTTTAGTATTCCAGGCATTGCTGTAGCATCAGCATCACTTTTCAGATGAGCAAACCTTTATGTTACGGAAGACCTTTTGGTGTAAACCCTTTCTTTTCTCAGCCCCATTTCACTTAAATTTCTTTTCAACAGAACAGTGGACTAATGATCTAATATTTCTTTGCTTTAAGATGCTGCATGCAGGATTGCCTGAGCTGAACAGCATCCAGGATCTAAAGTATGTGTATGACAACCTCCGTCCTCAGGACTCAGATCTCCAGGCTACAAGCTACTTTACAAGGTAAAACCACAATATAATCTAGAAACCTTGTCTTCTTCACGCATGAAGCAGTTTTTCTGTTATGTTAAGAGGTTGTAATCAGGGAAATTACACAAAAGGATAATTGGTCTTCACATGTTTACTTTTAAAAAGTCCATTCCTTATGCACATTATAACCAATTTCCTCAAATTTCTGGAAGAAACAGTTGTTCATTTGTTTACACTTGCATCAAGTCACTTTCTAAGTGCCTAGAGATTTCTCAGGCTTTCATGGTGAAACCATCCCAGTTTATATCAGGTCAGGTTTTCTCTCTGCTTTTAAATGCAACAGCTACATGCAAATGGATCTGGACTGCATAAAGAGATTCAACTTGTTAATGGACTGTGTGAGAGCCTTCAATTTCTGAATTTTACTCCCTTTTCTCTTCTTTTTTTCCTTCTATGTTGCCTCAGGTAAGTTACTTGCTTTCTGCTAGCCACAGTTTCTCCATCTGCAAAACAGCAGTGGTTCTTCCTTTTAAACATTTAGCAGATCAATCATAGAAAAGCATTGTCTGTGAATATGGATACATTTGAAGCTTGATTTGTTTTAGGATAAAGAAACTTTTCCCTTGTTTGTGGATACATAACTGTGGATTATTGATGAGCTGCAGGTGGTGTGCATAAATTCAGGTAAAGCCCTCAGTTCTGATCTCTCAGGTCAGACCTCTGCAGTCCATATAATTCCAGCTGTTTATTTGATGATGCTGCAGATGGAAGCAGTGGAGACTGTCTGGATTTGGAAACTCTAGGCAAAGTTCTAGGCAAAGCATGAGAGAAAATCTCCCAGTCAGATCCTGCCCTGACACAGCACCATCATTCCCCAGGGACAGGCTATGAATTTGCAGTCCCTGGACACCCCACACACATACAAAACCAGCTTCTGTTGCTTTCCCTGGTGCAAGTGCAGGGTACATATCCAGTTCACAGCACTGGACTCTGAATGAAGGGCTCTTTAAAAATCCCAAGCCCCAAAGGACTTTCCCATAAGGCAGAACAGTTCTCTGCAGGGTGCAGACTGCCTTGAGGCAGCAGCAATCCCCCTACCCTTCAGTACAGCCAGAGGGAACAGTGCAAGGGATAAAAGAGATGAAAGCTTCAACTGGAACAGCTGATCCAGTCTCATTACTATTACAGGGGCCTGTATGAAAGTTTTGGGCAATTTGAATTATGCTGTTTGTATGTCTCCTACCCATGTACTAGAATCTGAGAAAATTGAGGCAGCAGGTTTAGAGAAGGTTAGAACAGATCAGAATGACTTTCTTAGGAAAAAAAAAAAGAGAGGAACTTCTCCAACAAAACTATTTTTCCATTACTTCGCACACAGCATAGCACTGAGTTCCTCCTCCTTTAACACTTACTTTTTTCATCTGCTTTCACTCTTACCCCTTAGCAAGATTGTTATATTTTAAAACTTAATTACAGCTTCAAATTTACCATCAACTCCTACTTTATCCTTTCCTTTAAAATTTTACATATTCCCAAATTACAGACTTACATTTCCACTTCAAATAGGAAATACACACTTTCTAATTAAATTGTAAAAGTTTTGATTCTGTCAAATAGTTTGGATGGTTGTGTCTCTCTCTCTCATGGGTGAAAAATCCAATTTGTTTAGTTAGTGAAAGAGGGGTAGGATATACATAACAAATAGGAAAAATCTGAGTCTTCAGAGTGAAAATTGCTTTAGTGTCATGCAAAGCTCAGAGCCAGTGCCCTTCTGGAGGCGGCAAGGATAAGTATTGCTCTTCAGCTGGATAAGATATGGTTGGGGTTGGCATCACTGCAGCCTTGCTTAGCTGGGAGACTTAGCTGAGGATGAAGACTTGCTCCAGGACAGAGCTGTATCTCCAGGCTCTTTCTTGGAGTTGGGCAAGGTGGTTGTGGGTATTTTGAGGATTAGGGCAAAGGACTTCAGAGAGGGAATTTATCTGCAGTCTTCTTCAACCAAAGCCTGTGGAATAACAGCAGGCATTTGGAAGGAGGTGTGGCCCAACAGTGGTTTGGAAGTAAGAGGAGTTGGTGTGCTTTTTTGTCTGGTAGAGGTTTGTATTTGGGTTAGGAAATCCTGTTCAGCTCAGTGGTACTATAGGTAGGACTCAGAGACTAACATGTCCTTCTTCCCATTAGATTAGGGATGGTGTTAGGGAAATTAAGGCTTTCAGAGTGAAAATTCCACTCAATTCCTGCACATCAACAAAATAGTTCAAACTTGTGCAGTGCTCTGGGCTCTGTTCTTATTTGAAACTGCATTTTCTGCTAAGATGTGTTCAGTGAACTCTGGAGCCATTGTTCCAATTTCCTTTGAAATGCTGAAGTGTAGATTTGTTGATGTCCATAGAGATCACTACATCACGTAGAGAAGTCAGATATTGCTAGAGTGCATATTTTGTTCATTAATATTCTTAGGATATGTTTGTATTATATATGCTCATTTGCAGGAAGAAAATCCCTTTACATTGGCTCATGAATTTCCATGGATTCTATTTCTCTTGGAGCTTTTTCTCCCCACACTTTATTCTAATTTCTATTCATTTGAACATCATTTGTGTTAATTCAAAGAATGTATTAACATTTCTATATGTTTAAACATGGACAGAACATCAGGCTTCATGTCTAGTAGTATTTGAACTTCTGGAAATTTTATCCAGGCACTTTTCAAAATTAAGGCTTTAGGATGGCCTGATAACTAGATCCATGCAGAACTTACCCCCAGGTAAAAACATTTTCCAACCTGCTTCTAGGAATGTTAATATCCTGAGATTTTTGGGAGCTTTGTGTTACCTATGTCATCTGTATTGCTGTCCTGCAGAAAAATTCATTCTATTCTCCTTGTTATACAAAATATCAACATGAAAAAAAAAAATCCATTTAATACTTCTCATCGTCATTCTGTAGCTTATTCATCTATTTTTCAAGCTGTCCTTAGAAAGACAAGGAAATTGGAAGTTCTGATTATTAACACAACTTCTAGTAGCTTTTAAATCCCTTGCAGTATGTAGCTCCTTTTTCTCTCTGTAATTACTTTCAAAAACACTTTATTGCTTTTATAATGTTCTTTTCTAGACAAGGAGTGTGGTCACTGGAATGTCAAACACTGCCAAAAGAAAGTTATTTCTTGTTCTGAGTACAAGGTAGTTATTGTAATCTTTCAGATCCAGTCATATAATGTATCTACTGAAAATCCCAATCTTCTGTAGTGGAAATAGGAGAAAAGTATTTCTCTGTATTTCTGTAGAAATGGGTTGCTTTAAGCAATTTTCTGAGTTTAGTTTGAGCAATAATAGTGACATTGCCCCTGCTGTTGTTTAAAAACAACATGAAATGATGAATGATGTCACAAATATTCCTGACAGAACAGTGTTAATTTGTTCTTTGCTGTCACCTTTTTAGCCAGCAGAACAATTCTATCAGAGTTTGGACTGTAACATACTGACCCCTGTCAGGATTGTGAAACGTTCTGTGTTTTACTAAATTCCTTTAGTCTCATTCTTGATTTAAGACATGTTCAACAATCTGTGGTCTCATTTGTGCACTGTATTCTTCTCACCTCGGGTCAGTTCCCCGTTCGGAGCTGATGAGCAGCAGTGTTAAGCCTCAGAGCTCACAGCCTTCTGCAAGGTCACACTCTCAGGTCGTGGATAAACAATGCACCAATTGAGAGTTAAACAAGAGTTTCTGTGTCTCCTTTTCAGTCCCAAGCACCTCGTGCCAAATGAAACATCGTTGTCTCTCCAGCATCTGCCCTGAACTCAGTTTGATCCTTGAAACTCAGTTTGATCCTTTATCCTCCCTCCTTTCCTGACAACACAGTTTTACCAGAAACTGGAAACCCACCTTACCTCTGGATATAAATTTTCCCTATGTTTTTCTGCAGATGTCTTCAAATGTCAGGACGATGTGGGGCACTGCCTGACATTTTTAATGTGCCTGCAAAGGGGTGTATTTAAAGGAGTATTTAAAATTGTTTTTAAGAGCATAAAGTTAGCCTAACGCAGTGAATGGAGTTGATTTCAATTGATTGCAGCATGCAATCTAACGCACTCACAGAAGCCCATGAATAAGAGATGCAGGGTGGATCTGACAATTACCAGGGAAGCTCATTGCATATCTTCAGCAGCCTGATTGAGGGAGGTGCTGCTTGGGTCAGCTGCTGTCTTTGCTTATTTATTAATGTAGTCATTTGTTAGGTACCTCTTACTGTCCAGGTCGAGCATATCCACTCCAAGCCACAAATGCCAGCAGTTTTCAGACCAGACAATTCACAGTAACTCCTTTCAAAGCATGACACTAATCTCAAACTGCAGGCAATCCCTTCTCAGGTGGCTGCAGATGTTTCAGCAAGAAATTTCCCAAGCAGCCAAAAAACACGGTGAAAGTTGGTGGCATCAGAAAACACGTAGACAAAAATACAGCACTAAACTTTATTTCACTGGCATTCAAGTAGTTTGTAAAGATTGTGGTATATGTGCCTCAGAGGAACAGAAGGCAGACTTCCTCCTTGAATTCAGGTTGTTTGAGGCATGATGAAGGCTGTTGCACAAACTCCACGTGCCATCAGCTCAGGGGAGAGGAGCGTCATCTAGTCCTGGGAGGACTAGTAGGGAAACTAGACTGTATGATGCACTTCAGGAACGTACCTGATGTGTTCAGCCCATGGGATAAGAGTTAGTCTGGAAGTAAACCTGGATTTTAAAGCCTAGCAAGTCAAGCGATAAAAGGAATAAGATTATGGCTTGTATACTATCACAGTGGGAAATAAGGTATTAAATTGAGGGGTTATCACTGCTGTACACGAAAAGGATACCCACTGTCCGTGAATAAATGTCACTGAAAATTATAAAAGCTCTATTGCTGAAAACAGTAATACTCTGGAAAACTCTTCCAATAGCTTTTGGGGGCATACTACCCAACTTGTTTTAAAATGGAGCCTGGCAAATTCACAGATGCATAATATAAATGAGACAACATTCATTAACATCTGAGAATCCCATGAAAATAAGTTTTGCTCATTATCCTCTAAATTATTTTCAGGCCTACATGGAAATGAGAAGCAGGATAACATCAAGAATGATAAAGAAAATTATTCTGAAGGTTGGAGTGAATAATAATAATTATTATATATACTAAGACTAAGATCTTGAATAACTAGTCAGTAATGAGTGTATGTGCTGTGTAGAAATTCTGATGTATCCAAAGAGATCCAAGCACCAGCCCTCAGAACACCAGTCCATAAGAAATGTCTGCTTCCTAAAAATCAAGTCACTATCACTGGTCACTGTTGAAAACACTAGCAAAACTTTTCATCCATCTCTGTTTACACAAGCAGCCATCCGGTCTGTTCATATTTTACCTGATACTGTAATTTGACAGTTCTGTAGAAAGACTGAGAGCCAAATCTGAAATTCAAAGTCAATTCAGCAGGTGGAAAGCGGAAAGTCATTACTTTTCAGTAATCCCAGATATTTAATTCACTTCTCTGAGAAGCAGGTCAGACACCAATGTGCACAGTTTTTACTGTGTAGAAAAATAACCTTTTTGTGCCTGAAAACTGTGTTATCAATATTTTGATCACTGCTGATGTTACTGTAGTTAATGACAGTTTCCTGTTTTCTTCTGATTAACCTGTGCTTTTGATGTCCTTCATATTGGTCACTTCAGTTTTGCTTTCTGTGGACCATCAGCCACTAATTCTCTAAGCAGCTTGGGCTACCAGAGCTCTGCAATAAATAAGAAACTTTTTATCATCTTCACTAATGGTACATCGTGGTAATGGCCAGGGAGCAAGAGGACCTTGACAAGGAATACCCATGACCTTACCAGCTTCTTTCCACTATTGCTAATCTTAAAGTGGTTACAGAAAAAAAGAAGGTGTATGGGGACCAGGGGGAGTTCAAGGAGAAACTTCCACCACTGGTCCTCAGGAGAACTTTAAAAATGCTAACAGAAAGGGGAATCAGATACCACAGCACGGTAAACTGAGTCATTGATCTAATCCAGGCCAGAAATGTACTGCAAAATTTCAAAAAGCTACGACACACGGGTTTGACGTACTCCATTGCTCCATGTGTGGTTAGGAACCAGCTTTTGGCAAAGAGGGTTTCCATAAGAAAATTTGTCCTTTAAAGAAAGTGCAGAGAACTGTAACCAGAGTTGTTCTACCTTGCTGTGAAGACACGCTCAGATACAGCATCAGAATAACAAAGAGGCCTTTTCAATTCCTTGTTGCTAATATGATATAAGGATTGCTGAGTGGTTTTTATTCTGACAAAGAGGACTGCATACAGACAGAACAGAATATCGAGAGGGGGAGAAAACAATGTATACTTCTGTTTTTATTTGGGTTTAAGTGTAACAATTAAAAATAACTCACAGGAAAAATTTGCAACAATGGCAAAACAAGCGTCTGTTTAGATTTAAAGTATGTGATTAGAAATCTGGGGTTTAAAAGTATTTTAGAAGCCTAAAGGACCCATGAAAAGAATAGTGGTTCTCTGATATCAGGCTGTTCTGTGGAGTGAAGCTATCTGAATTAGTACTAATTTACAAGCTGAGGTCTGCTTTATGTGAATTAAATTGCACCATGTTTAGCTGAAAAGTTATCACGTCTCTTGTAGTAATATGGACAATTCCCTAACTGCTGTGCTATTATATGGCCAGTTACAGATTCTATAACTTAATATCTCAATGATTTAGGAAGTGTTTCAATTACACATTAAATTAAGCACGTAGGAGTTAAAAAGAAAAAATTCACCTCTGATGCAGCCCAATTAATCAGCACTGAATTGATCTTGTACTAATATTTTGAAATTAGGTTTGTTTTCTTGTTTTACCTTTGAGTGTTAATTTGTTTAATTTATTAAATAGTCTGCATGTATCTCTTTCTGAAGAATGTAATTAATAATTAAGATAATTAACCAAATCAATTCAGAGATACTTTTCAGAGATACTATTACATTGAGAAAAATATATACATCTTCTCAGTTTACCATGCCTGATTAGTGTATGATAAATTCACTCACTATTTTGAATAACATCTGAATTGGGGAGGGTGGGGGAAGTGAGGGGGGGAGCTGGGGAACTATTTGTGG